TCCCGGTCCGGTACGGGGGCAACACTGAGGGTTGTGATCCATTGCCGGACACGAAAAAAGATAAAAAGGAAAAAAAAAAAAAAAGAATATTACACATGGGGTAGTAGATGTTGTAATTTTTTTTTTTTTTTTGTAATTTTTAAAATCAGAACCAATTCCTCCCCATTTATGAGCAAAGAAGCATGAGCTATTTTATTACAGCCCAACTCGAGATGAAGATATCCATGGCTATGGAGTAAAACTTTGCTTGTATTTTAGACCTACAAATATGTTGTGTATATTGATTTATAAGACTGTGGAGCCATTTGCCATCTTGCAGCCAGCATAAATTTGCTATTTTGAATGGTTTCTGGTTTGGTGGATATTACCTTAAATTAATGCTTACAACATGTCATTTAAAAGCATTTTAAAAATCAATTTTTTGTAGATAAAAGCTCTATAATTGATGAGTGTTATTTGTGATTTTTTTCAATATTTAGACCACATGGCTTTAAGTGCAGCTAAAAGATGTTTTGTTTGGTTTTGTTTTTTTCTTTTCTTCCACAGGTGTATTTGTGCTGATGGGTTTGAAGGAGAAAATTGTGAAGTCAATGTTGATGATTGTGAAGATAATGACTGTGAAAATAATTCTACATGTGTTGATGGAATTAATAACTACACATGTCTTTGCCCACCTGAGTATACAGGTATGAAGAGTAGTAAATATACCTTCAATCTATGTATCCGTTTCAAAGCATCATTGGCACTATGTTATATTGGTTTATTGAACCATTTTATTATTTAATAACTGTTAGGTATTTTGGAAATTACATGTAATGCACATAACAGAAGGACTTAAAGATGGTTTCAACCAACCAAATAAAAGACCCAGCATGCTTAGTTCAAACACATGCATCTATCATAAAGTCATGCTATCTAGCAAAAAAAACCCCAGCTATCATGCTGAAGCTTCTAGTCCCACAAATCAATGGCATTTGTGTGCAAACCAACCCATCAATACATATGTGAAAAGAGGGCATTTCTTTACATAACAAAACATAATTAATCATTTGAGATTACTCATATTCATACTTGTTTCTTCAGTAGTGATTGTTTGCATTTAGTAACCTATGTCCTTCAAAATATAACTCAGTCAGGAAGATATTGACCGTCTTGGATAATCTTATGAGACCATCCCCTTTTTTTCTGACATTTTGTCTCTTTGGGTGATAAATCTTATAAAACTATCCAAATCACTAAACTTCCTCTCTATTCAAACCATTTGCTATAAACTCAACATCAAGTGCATGACTTGTCAATTTTGTGAGAACATCTGTTTGATTTTTGTGGCTATGAATAAGAAACTTCATAGTTATTAATCTTTTTTTCCCTAATAAATCACTTAAAGTTGATAGAGATAAAGAAAATGTTACACATTTTATTCATAAGAAAAAATGAAGTAGATCCTATTGCTCTATTAAAAGTTACCATTTTCATTTTTCTGAGTGCTTTTCATTAATTATATTTATTACCATATAATATAATACATAGTTAAGGATATCAAAGGGTGAAATAATTATGTAGGCGATTGAAGTTAACATCTCTAAAAGTGAAAGAAGAACAGTCATCCGTATAATTAAATTTTCCCTTAACTTGTTGGATTTTACTAAGTACTTTTCTTGATGGAAAAATACTAGATAGAATAATGAGATTTTGTTTTGGCAATCCAGATCTGTTTAAGTGCCTCCGAGACTGCCTTTCCATGGTCTGATTTTTTTTTT